ATCTCACTTAAAATTGGTCTAGGAATGATCAGCTCATGGTCCTGACAAAGTTAAGTTAACATTATACTATTTTTTACTCAAATTGGTACATATTTCAACAACAAAAATAAATACTATAGACTCAGGTGACCGTTCAGGCCCATGGGCCTCTTGTTGTTATATAATGTTGTAAGACCACAGTTACCTGAAAAGTAAGTCAAGTGTCCCGCAACCGTTCAAGGTATCTGCTGGTCAAATATTAAGACTACTTGGCACAGGCGGTACATAAAAATAGTTGATAAGAATACTGACGTACGATACCACAGCATAACAGACACTTCGAGGCAGGTGAGTAAAAATATTGATATATCGTCTAGTCATCAGTTTTCGCGCAGACAAATTTATCAAACTATAACTCGTAACTACGTGACCTGCTGGACACAACACAAGGATATTTTAGACGGTTTTTTTGTAGTCTGACAAACGTACGAAAATGTCGTATGCAAATGACTCCACATCTCCTTGCCGATTTTTTTCCACTCCCGAAGAGCCAATTAGACATTCTTATATCGATAATTAAACAGTGTTTTCAATGAAACGTAAACCTTGTAATGCAATTAACTTCCAATTTTCACCAATTTTAAACAGAACAAATTGAGAAATAACTTACCATCAACCAAAACCGATATAAGGCTGCAGAAAAAAAATAACAGATTCTATGTTATATTCAAACTAAATAAATATAAAAATGATTTATTAATGACTGCTTCAAATTTATCTGGAAACGAGGCTGCTAATTGCTTATCACACGGAAGTTTATAAATCTATAATTTATTCATTTACTTTTGAAACACGCAACAGAAGTCTTCACGTATACAATGCACGTGCGCGCACCTTCTTAAACACATTCAAACGCAATCCGGTTAGCTTAATTGATCCGTTACGATACTTCAACACGGATTCCGACATCATCAGTATCGTACGAGAATCTGCATGTCATCAAGCCAAGAATAGCTGGTCACTGCAGGTACTAGCCTCGTCTGTCAATACACCTGATTATATGATAGGTGTATTAACAGACGAGGTTAGTACTGTGGTCACTGTAAGTCAGTTATTCCTCTGAATTTAGTGTATGCCCCGTGATATAATGAAAATCTCCGCGTAGAGAAAAGCAGAGAGACAGTGGCGAAGGACCGCAGGTAGAAGCCTCGTCTGTCAATACACCTATAATATAATCGTATAGGTGTATTGATAGACGAGACTAGTACCTGTGGCAGGACCAAATCAACAGTTCACCAACAGATTTATAGAGAACAATGTCGACTAGTTGGTTCACTTCTCATTCAGTCAAAGAAGGCTTATTATTTCGAAAGAATTGAAAGAATGTGGTAAGGACCATAGACAGCTTTTTAGACTCACCAAAAACTTAATGGGTCAGAAAGGTGAAATTATCCTACCAAAAAGACTTGTCACTAACAAGTTCAGTGATTACTTTCTGAATAAAATCAGCACGATCAGGAAAAATATATCGGAAGTGAACTCTACTGCTGACAATGATATCTCTGTCATGACTGCTGACATTAAATTTGAACCATTGACAAAGCTCTCACCAGCAACAGTGGCGCAATATCATCATGACCTCAAAATCACCGAGTCCTGTGAGCTTGATCCACTGCCTACAGACCTATTCAATCAATATCGTGAAGCACTGCTTCCCTTGATTATCTCAATCATGAACAAATCATTGGCTGGGTCAAATTCCATTATGTTTCAAGAAAGCACATATTAGACCATTGTTGAAGAAGCCTGGAATGGACAAGGAGGAGTTGAAGAACCACCGCCCAGTATCAAATCTGCCATTTCTGTCTAAGATCTTGGAGAAGGTTGTGTCTCGGCGTTTAAAGGTTCTCCATGCAAACAGTCTCCATGACAACCTGAAATCGGCCTACCGCATGGGACACTACTGAGACGGCACTCCAATGGGTCGTTCAGGACGAGTAGCATTTTAAAGGAAAAATTGACGGACGGACGACGGACGCTGCGGTATGGCATAAGCTCACCATGGTCTTTCGGACCGAATTGAAATTCGAACAAGTTTGAAGTTTGAAAAGAGTTTGAAGTTTGCGCAGTAGTTTCTAAATAAACAAGGCTAAATATACCACAATCCCACAAAATCAAAATCATTGTTCGTACTCATGGCAACGGGCAATATGCCTATTCCTAACTGGGAAATCGTGCAGAGGTGAAAATCGTGTTGCTAACTCGTCACTCAGTGCAATTGTTAAAACAACTCTCTGAAAGTTACTGATGGATTTAGAACATCTTTTCTTGAAACAACCTCATGATGATGAGGACCAGAATCTATACTCAAGGGGAGGCTGACCTACCCCATCCCCCTCCCCAACTTCCCCAGGTGGGCTCAGGGTGGGTTGAAAAGCCCTTAAAAGGCCTTTCATCTGAAAGTTGCCAGTGGATTTAGGACAAACTTTTGTGAAATCATTCTTTGCTGATTATGCCCCACATTGGGGGACAATGCCCAACTGGGGTTTTATGTATTTGAAATAATTCATAATTTCCATCAGGTGACTGTTAGGGTCCATGTGCCTCTTATTAATTTAAAGATAATGTATTTATGAAACATTTCCTGTCTACTTCTGAAGTATTACAATGTTTAGTAATAGCCTGTGTTAAGGCCTGTATCTTAAATGCAGGCCAAGTTTAAGTTTGTAAACAGTCACCATTTGTCCTGAGAACATGTAAACAAATTTACTTGAACAAACCCCCTAGTCGTCGCTGCACCCTCAATGACCTGGATAGCTATGCTGGCTGGGGCTTTGTGCTCCTGATAGGGTCACCCAAGCCAGAAAGGTTGAAAGGTAGAGGTCAGACCTAGCAGCACCGCCCTTAATGCCAGGTTTGCACCGTTAACGTTGACAGGTGTCCGCCTTCGGGCCAGCCCTTGGTGCATTCCTCTGAATGGTCTGGCTGTGGTAAATCCTCAGAGTCCCATGTATATAGTGTAGATTTTGTTTCTGTCCTTTCTCTTTTCTTTTCTTCCTCTTTGTTCTTTCTCCATTTTTACACCTTTACAATTTGATCTAGCATTTGTTTTGTCGACCATTTGTTGGCCCTAATGACCTTTCATGTGTTGATGGGCCGTTAAGCATTGATAATAATAATAATAATAATAATAATAATAATAATAACGTGAACAAACTGGATAGACCTTCATAGAGACAAGTATAGGGGATATATAACTAATAGGGACTGTGGTTCTGCGAGGTTGTTTGAATTTTACCATATTTGATCCATGTAATATTGAAAATGCATAGTTAATGCCTTTTTAATTGAATAAAAATACAAAGTCAAATTCCAAATATATGGCTATTCTTCATGATTCTTAAGATTAAGTAATTAGATAATGTTAAGGATAGGACGGATGACATCATGCAGCTCTCTTGACCCTATGAAGAATTAAGTTTTAGTATTTTCTAACTTATGCATCCCCTCTTCAAAGTGGTTTTAGAAATAGAAGAGGGACAAATGACCATCTCATCAGATTAGAGACGTTCATTCGAGAGGCTTTCGCCAAGAAAGAACACCTTGTCGCCGTGTTCTTTGATCTTGAGAAGGCCTATGATACTACATGGCAGTATGGCATCATGAAAGATCTTCACGACCTTGGCGTACGTGGAAACCTCCCCAATTTTATATCCAATTACCTATCAGAAAGACACTTCAAAGTCCGCGTTGGTTCAACTTTTTTTGAAACGTCTAAACAGGAAATGGGAGTCCCACAGGGTGGAATCCTATCAGTCACACTGTTTGGTCTTAAAATCAATGATATAGTCAAATGTCTTGGTCAATCAACAGAAGGGTCGTTATTTGTGGATGACTTCTTGATCTGTTACAGATCTAAGAACATGCACACGATAGAACGACAACTTCAACAGAGTTTAAACAAACTACAAAATTGGGCAGACGAAAACGGCTTCAAATTCTCTAAATCCAAAACTGTGTGCATGCATTTCTGTCAAAAACGAAAAGCACACAATGACCCAAATCTAACACTCGATGGCACTAGAATTCCTGTTGTTGAACAGACTAAATTTCTCGGCCTCATTTTTGATTCGAAACTCTCTTTCATACCACATATAAAGTATCTGAAGGATAAGTGTTCCAAGGCGTTAAACATTATACGAGTCCTTTCTCATACTGATTGGGGAGCGGATCGTGAAATGCTTTTGCGCCTATACAGATCACTTATTCGAACAAAACTGGATTATGGTTCTATGGTATACGGGTCAGCGCGCAGTTCGTACCTTCAGATGCTAGATCCAATCCATAACCAAGGGCTACGTCTTGCCCTGGGAGCTTTTCGAACAACACCTGTAAAAAGCCTGTACGTGGAAGCAAATGAACCATCCCTTTATGACAGAAGAATAAAACTTTCATTACAATTTGCAACTCAATTAAAATCAAACCCTAAAAATCCTGCTTTCAACCAAGTATTCAACCCCAAATACCAAAACATATTTACGCAAAACCAAAAACTTCTGCCAACATTTGGTATCCGAATTTTGAATTTCCTGCAAGAACTCAACATAAAATTGACGGACATAGCTGAATTTAACATATCTGATGTTCCTCCGTGGACCATTCAAACCCCCGATTTTAACTTTACATTACATGAGCGAGGGAAATCAAGTGTTATGCCCGAAGAACACAAATCCTCCTTTCGGGAATGCATTTCGAATTACCCTTCTCATACACAACTTTACACCGATGGCTCCAAAGAAGGTGAGAAAGTGGCAGCAGCCTGCTGTACTGCCAATACTTGCACTTCAGTCCGACTACCAGACGGCGCCTCCATCTTTTCTGCTGAAGCATGCGCCATTGGTTTGGCCCTCGACCATATCGATGAACACCGCATTAAAAAGGCAATTATTTGTTCAGACTCTCTATCTGTCCTACAGAGTTTACAGTTACGAGATCCTAAAAACACAATCGTACAAAACCTTGCTCTTCGAATATCTCGTATATTAAAAAAGTCTAAAATAACTTTACTATGGATTCCGAGCCATGTCGGAATAAAAGGCAACGAATTTGCTGACAGGGAAGCAAAAAATGCATTGAATCTCGAACAAACAAATATCAAACTACCATACACAGATTTTAAACCTACTATTCGTACAGCCATTCAAAATGAATGGCAGAAACGCTGGTCTCTGGAGACCAACAACAAACTTTTTAAGATACAACCGAAACTTAAAACATCTATTCCCAGTCGGAAAGATCGTAGAGAGGAAGTTGTCCTCGCTCGGCTCCGCACTGGGCACACATATCCTACTCATTCGTACCTTTTAAAACGAGAAGATATACCTTCATGCCACGCATGTGACACTCCATTTACAGTGGAGCATTTTTTAATAGAATGTTCCGATTTTAAACACATTCGTGATAACTACTTCCGAGTCCCGGATATGAAAACACTTTTCAGTTCCGTGGATTCGAAGGCATTATTTAACTATTTGAAAGACATCGGTCTATTTTATAGACTCTGATGTCTTTTAACCCACCTTATCATTTTTGACGTTATATATATATCGCATATTCCATATCATCTATTCGTTATCTCTTTTATTATTTTAACTCCCTTTTATTATTTTTATTATCTACACATGTTAAAAAAGTAAAATAAATAAATAAATCACCATGGCCCTAAATGACCACAGCCATCGATGGGCCGTTAAACATAAACAAACAAACAAACAAACTTATGCCATTTATTACAGAAGAAAAAACACCTAACCGGCTAAATCAATGAGGACGATCATGGATATGTTATGATAAAAGGCATATTGAGAAATTTCGCTTATGTGTGTATCTAAATGACTCATCTTTGGTGATCAATAGGGATCTTCTAACCAAAGGACATGCTATTGATTTATGTATCTGTCATCATTATTCCTGTCAGAAGATATACAAAATCTGTCGTGCAGAAATTGCAGAATAATTTCAGAACCTTAATGACACAACAGAGACAACGGGATAAACACAGATATACAATTCCATCTAAATGTAAATGCACAGTAATCCAATGGGAGGGGGAAGGTAGCTGCCAGATATTCCAAATTGCCTGTCGTAACAAACACTGTAGCATAAAACTGGGGGCCGTAAATGTCCTCTTTATGGTAAAATATGATGTGTAGTAAATGTCCTTTATATGGAGGTATTTGATGAGTAGTAAATGTCCTTTATATGGAGGTATTTGATGGGTAGTAAATGTCCTTGATATGGAGGTATTTGATGGGTGGTAAATGTCCTCTATATGTAGGTATTTGATCGGTTGTAAAGGTCCTCTATATGTAGGTATTTGATGGGTAGTAAATGTCCTCTATATGTAGGTATTTGATGGGTGGTAAATGTCCTCTATATGTAGGTCAGCATTTGATGGGTGGTAAATGTCCTCTATATGGAGGTATTTGATGGGTGGTAAATGTCCTCTATATGTAGGTATCTGCTGGGTGGTAATTATATGTCCTCTATATGTAGATATTTGATCGGTGGTAAATGTCCTCTATATGTAGGTATTTGATGGGTAGTAAATGTCCTCTATATGTAGGTATTTGATGGGTAGTAAATGTCCTTTATATGGAGGTATTTGATGGGAAGTAAATGTCCTCTATAGGTAAATATTTACATTCTGTATGCTTAATTAGACCCATTGACAAAAATTACATTCATAAATGCATAACACAGGTGTTCATAGAATCTCAGCACGTGGGACCTGATATATAGTAACCTGATCACACTGCGTAGTAATACACTACAAAAACTACTCACTCGGAACGACCGACCTAGATGCTTAATTCTTACATCTTAAAATATTATTGAACTGTGCTTTGTGAAATATCCACGTATTCACGTGTCCTGTGCTACAAATAAACATTGAATATGGAACTACATTTTGTTGTGTTATTGTTGTTGACGGTTGCTAAGATCTCTCACGATAGTGTCACATTTCCCCGCGAAAAAACACTGTTCTCGCCACTGCGTTGCACCCGTGTATAAGCAGGAACAAACCCTGTTTATTTGTTTTATTCGTTGTTATATCGATCCACTGAAAGGATTCGTCAATGTAAATATAAGGAATGATATTTATTTTTTCAACATTTATGAGGTCATAACAACAATGGGTTTTTGGACATATTTTACATGAATCGCTAACGCGATTCATTCAATATGTCCATAAACCCATTGTTGTTATGACCTCATAAATGTTGAAAAAATAAAAATCATTCCTTAAGTATTTGATGGGTAGTAATTATAAATGCCCTCTATATGGAGACATTCGATGGGTAGTAAATGTCCTTTATATGGAGGTGAAGTATGCGTCCTCTATACACGGAGATGTCAAGTCAGCTGAAGATATTATTCAAAATCAGCGTATTAATTCAGTGATATGTTTTATCCTTGATTTATTTTGTGATATGATTAGTGTTTACTTCTTCGTCCCACAGTCGCCATTCTGCTGGTCTCTGTTCACGCATGCGCATCCGACCAACATTTGCTGATCCAGTTTCTATATTGGAACCATTCTGTCGTATTTATTAATTCTATATATCATAATATTGAAATGGACTTGTGAATTGATAAGTAAATCAGAAACGTTTTGTACATCGGTTCCTGCTCAGTCGATATACACTTCGGTGTGTGAGTATTCCATGCTGTGAACGCGTTGGATATTGCGTCACGTGACCAGCTGTCCAAAAACTCGATTTAGCCTAGCTGATTATTATCCTTGCACAGGAGAAAATGGGAGACTTACCTGACCCTATCCGTGAACCAGAGATCAAATATACACAGGTACTTACTGGTGCATTGTCTAACAGAGTTGTCATGTGTGTAAAATAGTCGGAGGAAACTCGACTAGAGTATTTGCGTAACCTACATTATATGATTATATCGTCTGTAGCACGTACAGGTGCTGGACAAACTAATGGTAATACACATCATTTTACTATTAGTGTGTCCAGCACCTGTGGTCTGTAGCACATGTAGGCCTACAAAATGTATGCCATGCTATAATGTTTATATTTGCCTGCATGCATTAGGCCTAGTGTTTTATCTTATTAGTACTGTACTGAATAGACTTCACTACTCGGGGAGGGTTTCTGCAGGTTGTATGTTACTATGTATACTAATGTCATATTATGATATTATATTTTGCTATAGATATAAAAAAATATATACGAAACGTAAATGCGTATTTAATGTAACAACCCCCTTTGTTTCCAGAACTGGTGACTTTTTTTTCAAAGCAGCTTTTCAGGTCTGGGTTGCTCAAAACCCAGAATACAGTTTTCCTGTGAGTAGATAATTTAAGTCCTTATCTAGGTATACATTTATATCCAGGGTTTTGAGCAACCCGGCCAAGGTGTTTTCATTCTATATGTTTTCTGTAGATGCGTATGTAAACAGCGATATTCCCTGAAGGAATGTACACATGCATGTACAGTACCTCATATATTAAACTACAGGATGAACTGGAAAGAAAATGCAATACGTTTTTTAAATACAATGTATATATATATATAAACCACAATTGAGTCAACTGGGCTTATTCCGGTATATAGTTTCCAATTTTACTGGTCCATGTGAAATTCCACTAAGCCAGTATTGTTTAACATAATAAGTACAAGGTAATATCAGATTTTGACTGGTCAGTTGGTCATTTTAAAACCAGTAGTATCATTATAAATGTCAGGGGTAAATGACTTAATTAATACTGTTTACAGGATTAGATGCTAATTATGTTACATGTATGTAGCTTGCAAGTCAAACATCAATGCAATTAAGTTCAAGATTTATTGAAAGAGACATCTCCTGTATAAAACATCAAAAGTAATTGACTGTAAGGGACATAAAGTTTTCAGAAAATTTGATAATCATCATTCAATACATATCTGTGTCGAAAAGAAATAATCTTTTTAAAGTCTATCTATCAAATGATACTGCGATAACATATTTTTTTAACAAGTCCAAAGGACCAGTTATGTTGCTGAAATCTACTAGTCTAGGGCTCAAATAAGAGGACTAGTGTTTGTGTCAAACCCTGCTTAAATTTATATATACCTGCCTGGTACAATAAATTACAAGTTAATTTGTGACCCGTTATAGTTATAGACCTGCTAATAAATCTTTTCAATGTCTACTTGTCGAAAAGCTAACTTCTTTTGTATTTTTGACTCCGAGTAAATTTAACGAATTAAAACATACTACAATGTAGGTCTTAAGTAATATTGCCAAAGGTATGTTGGTGATTAAATTCATTTATAAAACTAATTATGAAACGATATAAATCCTCTATATCACTTTCATAACAACGAAACATACTGTATTCTTTCTTCTCTAGGTACATCTCGCTATAGCTAGTGGCCACATTCAATGTATACAGTGTACATTATGTAGGTCATGTGCAGTAAAACGTATCTTAGAAAGATGGTTTAGATTATTTAGGTTGTTTTATGTAGATGGCTTTTGTTTCATATTTCAACAATTCAATTCAATTCAATTTATTCCAAAAGCAGTACAGCTTATGGGAGTATTATAATATAATAATTAACATGCATACATGTGTTGAACACAGGAATTGTATACAAGATAATGGAGGCTGTGAACAATGTGTAACAATTTCGCTGTGTGTGTCATGAATCATGCAATTCATATTATAACATAATGCTGACATACTTATGCCTTTTCGAGACACTCTCGATGAAAACTATCACATTATCTGAGAATATGTTACCTGCATTACAAGAATAATTAACAGAAATTTGTCACAGACAGGTGTCCAAGACCAAAAAGGATACAAGGGTTTTTATTTTTTTTGTGAATTGATAAGTGAATCAGAAACGTTTTATGCATCCGTTCCTGCTCAGTCGATATTCAAATGTACGCTTCGGTGTGTGAGTGGGGTTCCATGCCGTGAACGCGTTTAATATTGCGTCACGTGACCAGCTGTCCTAAAACTCGGATTTAGCCTAGCTGAAACGAGTCCGATTACTATCCTTGCACAGGAGAAAATGGGAGACTTACCTGACCCTATCCGTGACCCAGAGGTCAAATATACACAGGTACTTACTGGTGCATTGTCTAACAGAGTTGTCATGTGTGTAAAATAGTCGGAGGAAACTCGGGCTAGAGTATTTGCGTAACCTACATTATATATAATTATATCGTCTGTAGCACAGGTGGCGGTGCTGGACAAACTAATAGTAATACACATCATTTTACTATTAGTGTGTCCAGCACCTGTGGTCTGTAGCACATGTAGGCCTACAAAATGTATGCCATGCTATAATGGCATGCATTAGGCCTAGTGTTTTATTTTATTAGTACTGTACTGAATAGACTTCACTACTCGGGGAGGGTTTCTGCAGGTTGTATGTTACTATGTATACTAATGTCATATTATGATATTATATTTTGCTATAGATATAAAAAAATATATACGAAACCCAAATGCGTATTTAATGTAACAACCCCCTTTGTTTCCAGAACTGGTGACTTTTTTTTCAAAGCAGCTTTTCAGGTCTGGGTTGCTCAAAACCCAGAATACAGTTTTCCTGTGAGTAGATAATTTAAGTCCTTATCTAGGTATACATTTATATCCAGGGTTTTGAGCAACCCGGCCAAGGTGTTTTCATTCTATATGTTTTCTGTAGATGCGTATGTAAACAGCGATATTCCCTGAAGGTATATACACATGCATGTACAGTACCTCATATATTAAACTACAGGATGAACTGGAAAGAAAATGCAATATGTTTTTTAAATACAATGTATATATATCTTTCAGGGCTAGAAGTTGATTTCAAAAACCACAATTGAGTCAACTGGGCTTATACCGGTATATAGTTTCCAATTTTACTGGTCCATGTGAAATTCCACTAAGCCAGTATTGTTTAACATAATAAAAACAAGGTAATATCAGATTTTGACTGGTCAGTTGGTCATTTTAAAACCAGAAGTATCATTATAAATGTCAGGGGTAAATGACTTAATTAATACTGTTTACAGGATTAGATGCTAATTATGTTACATGTATGTAGCTTGCAAGTCAAACATCAATGCAACAAAGTTCAAGATTTACTGAAAGAAACATCTCCTGTACAAAACATCAAAAGTAATTGACTGTAAGGGACATAAAGTTTTCAGAAAATTTGATAATCATCATTCAATACATATCTGTGTCGAAAAGAAATAATCTTTTTTTAAAGTCTATCTATCAAATGATACTGCGATAACATATTTTTTTAACAAGTCCAAAGGACCAGTTATGTTGCTGAAATCTACTAGTCTAGGGCTTAAGAGGACTAGTGTTAGTGTCAAACCCTGCTTAAATTTATATATACCTGCCTGGTACAATAAATTACAAGTTAACTCGTGACCCGTTATAGTCATGGACCTGCTAATAAATCTTTTCAATGTTTACTTGTCGAAAAGCTAACTTCTTTTGTATTTTTGACTCCGAGTAAATTTAACGAATTAAAACATACTACAATGTAGGTCTTAAGTAATATTGCCAAAGGTATGTTGGTGATTAAATTCATTTATAAAACTAATTATGAAACGATATAAATCCTCTATATCACTTTCATAACAACGAAACATACTGTATTCTTTCTTCTCTAGGTACATCTCGCTATAGCTAGTGGCCACATTCAATGTATACAGTGTACATTATGTAGGTCATGTGCAGTAAAACGTATCTTAGAAAGATGGTTTAGATTATTTAGGTTGTTTTATGTAGATGGCTTTAGTTTCATATTTCAACAATTCAATTCAATTCAATTTATTCCAAAAGCAGTACAGCTTATGGGAGTATTATAATGTAATAATTAATATGCATACATGTGTTGATCACAGGAATTGTATACAAGATAATGGAGGCTGTGAACAATGTGTAACAATTTCGCTGTGTGTGTCATGAATCATGAAATTCATATAACATAATGCTGACATACTTATGCCTTTTCGAGACACTCTCGATGAAAACTATCACATTATCTGAGAATATGTTACCTGCATTACAAGAATAATTAACAGAAATTTGTCACAGACAGGTGTCCAAGACCAAAAAGGATACAAGGGTTTTTATTTTTTAACCATATCATCACAATATGCCTTAAAGCACACAGTTATCAGAACATTGTAATTTAAGCCAATACTAGAAAATTTCAACTTTTCTTATCTTAAAATTTGACTAAGCCTATTTTAAATGAAATATGAATTGGTTTTTAAGATATGATGATTTTAATTATTCTGTATTATAATTAAAGCATTATACGTATTAGCTTAAAAAACAAAGTTGTAAATTGAATAGGTGTTCAATATATACTTTTATATGATTTTATCATCTAAAGTAAATATTTCACTCCACTTCACCTGTGGCTGTGTTATCAGTTTGACAAAGTATGTTGTAGAAAATCTTTTGACCCAACAGGGGATTATCAGCATACCTTTTAGGCCTGTTTAAAGGATCACTTCCTGTTCAAAAGAGTGAATGATATCTCCCAGTTTGCCCTTTTATAATTTGAAATTGGAAAAAAGTAGTGGCATGAATTTAAATAAATTCTTCATGATTGACTGAACTCTGAAAAAGCAGCATATATATGCAAGGATTAAATGATCGAGCTGTCATAAAGATAGGCTTAACAGTCTAATTTCATGTATTCTAAGCTGTTATAAAGATCATCACAGTCTAATTTCATGTATTCTAAGTTATAAAGATCATCACAGTGTAATTTCATGTATTTTAAGTAACTCCCAAAATGCTTCATATGTTGACAAATTTTTCTCATTTTCCTCCCAAGGTTAATTTACTAAGAACAATAAGTGATGGAAATGCATGTAGTATGTTTTTCCCCAAATTTTGTCTGCAAATTCTCCAATTGATACATACATGTGTATAGCAAAAAGTTTATTGTTTAGGGGCGGGCTTTTGTAACATAAAAATGTAAGTAACTATTGGTAACCAGAGTATTTTTAGACCTGACAGAAAAATATTTTTAATAGAAAGGGTAAGATTCCCTATTGAAGATGTAGGATGCATATGGGTAGTCCACCCATATTCCCTAATTCCAAAGGCCGAAAGTAATATAATGTAGGGAAAAAATGTGATGACTGTTGTGTACAAACACTTTTTTCTAGGAGTGTTTAAGAATTGGTTTCTTGACTCTATTTCTGATTTATATGTATCATTAATTCAGATCTTCATCAACAATGAGTGGGTGAACTCTGTGAGTGGTAAGACCTTCCCCACCATCAACCCGAGCACCAAACAGAAGATAACAGATGTACAGGAGGGGGACAAGGTAAGACAACAGATCTATAGCCTGTAGAGCTTGGAGGTGGAGTTCAATACTTACTGATTATTGTTCTTCTTGACAAAATCATTTATCGAATTGCAATACAGATTATCAACTTTTCTCTCTATTTTCAACTTACCTAGCTGGCCCAAAGGGGCATAGTGAGCCTATACTAGTGTGATATCAGTCCTATCACACTGTGTCACTCTGTTCGTCAATGTCATTTTCTATTTTTTTGCTTTAAAAACTGTATAGTTACTTGTCCAGCTAAATTGAAGGTATTTTGGCTAAATTTGGTGCGTCAGATTGTGCATCTTGGGGGCAAGAGGCTGGTTACAAAAAATAAGATGCAAAAAAATATATTATTATTTCTCTGTAAGTATATGGGTTTAGGGATTTTAACTCATCTGGCATGTGATATATCCCTGTGCTATGGAAATGGAATTTTGTATGATTGAAGAATGTGGTTCTTTTAGAACAAAAGACAGGACCCTATATATGGGGGAGGGGGACAGGATGAACTCTTTTTTTTTTAATATCCCTAAAGTACAAGTTTAGGGATTTCAGTCTGATTAAGTATGGAGCATCACAAAGCAAGTGGAAATCAATGTTGTTTTGTAATTAATGAAGACAGTGCCCCCATAAGAAAAAAAAAGAAAAATGTCAGCTTCTTTAAAGTCTTCACAGGACACCTCAGACCATATATATTATACATTTGTATTGTATGAAAAATCCTGTCTTGGTCCCGAATATGTATTGTTATTTTTTCATGTTAGATTCAAAATCCATAATGACCACATTTCTTTTGATTGACTGAAGAAAGTTCTTTTTGATTCCTTAGCTCCATCAGATCAGTGTTATATTTAGGCACAATTAGAAACCAGAAGGGCAATCATGCAACTGTCAAAAACATTTTCATCTTTTCTGGTTCCGATAATAATTCAAACAGGTGAACTATACAGGCCCTGTAGTCCTCTTGTTTCATTTCAGTTATAAGTAATTTGTAGTTACACAAATTAGTATGCATGTTATATATTAAAATTAAAACAGCTGACATAATAAGAATCTTCATTGTATAAATATAGATGCATTTATTTGTCATGGGTAAAAATTGAGCTTTCATCGAAAAGACAATCAGGAGGTATCAAGGCTATGTGTATGTTAGCACCAAACTTCCTCGATTTTTTATATTCAGTCAGCGTGATCCCATACCGATAAGTTATATATACAGTGCAGCTTATATTATATTCCCCGAGTACCGCCCCAGGAACTGTTTTAACCACCTATTATATAGGTCGATTGGGCATGGTGACCTTGGTGGGGTTGACTCAGACTGTCAATGCCTAGCAACAGCTAAAGGTCTAGTGGTTGAGTTGGACTGTTGTTGTATATATATGTTGTACAGTACTAGAAGGAACAGGACTGATGTAAAATCTGTATTGTCATATTTATATATAGATGACTGAGTGATGGTTATTTATCTGTCCCAGGTTTATAGATAACACTCACAACTAAGAACTTGTGGAACTTCTTATGGAAAGTTTTTTTTTACATTTTACTAAACCAGAACAAATAAAAAAAACTGGTCAACAGGCCTGCCGCCTCACTTTCTGTTGCAGATTTACATATTACAATATAGAATTGTTCTGTCTTTATTTACAAGCTTGTCAATTGATCATCCAGATGAATGTATGGTAGAGTCTACTCAAGTTACCTAGGGGTGAAATGGTAAAAAGGACAATGTCAAACTCAGCATTATAAGATTTTGATAAAATGTAACCACATGAATGATGTATTTACTGTTAATTAAACAGATAAGGCAAAAGAAAAGATTGAAGTGAAATAAAGCTCATGAAGATCTTATGATGGTGGGCACCAAGATCCCTTTGAAATATCTTGATGTATTATTTTTAGCAAACAAATGTACCTAGTATTAGGTAAGTTAAAGGTGATGGAGCCAACGTCAGTTGTACATTGTAGGTTTGTGGGTTGATCAGTGAGGCGCAACACTTTGAGTACAGATACCAAGAGATATGCAAGGGCGATTACAGAAATTTGATATATACATTTTAAGTAACACATACTTGAGTGTCACTGATTAAAGTGGAATTTTTTAAGTTAAGCCACTTAATCGGTGATGCATGAGTATGTTGTGATCCTACTTAGATAGTATGAGACAAGATGCAGCCTTATATATGTACAACCAGCATTACATCCTTTTTGGTAACAACATATGTATTACCAGTAATCGTTTTTAACCCAACTGATTTATTTACTAATGTAATTTGTTTTCGTGAAAATCTTGTATGTGCACTTCAATAAATAAACCTCCCCGATTTTATATTCAAAACAATATCATTTAAATCAAAGGTTATTTCAAGACCAATAATTAATGCACCCTTACTGTAGTTTCAAATTGTAAAATTTGTAAAATCATGAATGTCAGAATATATAAAGGGGGCAGCAGATACAGGCCTAGGGCATACCACATTTGGTCCTTTCCAAACAATGTTGTACAGATTATTGGTATATTTTGATTTTTAGCTAACTTGGTACAAAAGTCCAAGGTGAGCTAATGCCTTACTGTGGTGACCATCCGTCAACAATTTCTGCAAACAACTTCCTCTTCATAACTGCTAATGGAAATTAAACAAAATTTTACTGGAAGCATTCATAGATGGTGGGGATTCATAGTTGTACAAATGGAAGGGACTGGTCTGGCTGCACCCATGGAGACCAAGTCACTGTGTCATAAATTTTAAATGGTCAAAATCCCCACTCCATATAAACCATAAAGAGACGAATACAGTAATTAGATTAGAATTGACTCTGAGGTCTGGCCGCACCCCTAGGAATTTAGTCCCTGGGTATCACATAGAAACCTTTGAGATCCCCACCCTATTTAGTATTACTATAGATACGATTGCTGAGTATGAAGATTTGGATACACTGATGGTGCCAGGATTTGCCTAGGGGAATGGCCCTATCCCTTGGATCTTATTTCATTCAATGAGCATCTTTTGCCATGAAAGGGGCGGGGGCCAATGTGGGAAATAAAGGTAAAACCTTTAAAATTGCTTAAATATAAATGCAAGAATTACAGGACCTCTGGGCCTCTTGTTATGATTGCTTAAACATCGAGGGAAGCGATACAGGACATCTGGGCTTCTTGTTATGATTGACATGTATCTCTGCACATTTATTTTATAACCTGTCAGGCGGATGTGGACAAAGCTGTTGCAGCAGCAAAAGAGGCCTTTAAACTTGGGTCACCATGGAGACGAATGGACGCAAGCAAGCGGGGGAAGCTGCTTATGAAGTTTGCCGACCTGTTAGAGCGAGATGCTGTATACATTGGGGTAAATGTTGTAAACATTATATGATCTGTTACAGGGAAAAGCATTACACGTTGGGGTAATGTAAAGTAAGAAAAAAATACTCCCACCACTTCTAATCAGGCTAAAATCCAGGAAATCATGCAAAATGTTGAAAATTAGTTATTTCAGATTACAAAAGTAAGTTTTAAATACATGTACCAGCATTTCTGTAAAGTTTATCTATATATTTAAATCACTAATAGGTACTTGATTATGGTTGTACAGGTATACTAATCATATTTAAATTTAACACTATTGATGGGAAACATGTTTTTTTTTGTACATTTTTAGCCCACCATCATCTGATGGTGGGCTATTCAAATCACACTGCGTCCATGGTCCGTCGTCCGTCGTCCGTCCTTAAACAATTCTTGTTAGCGGTATTTTAAGAAGTACCAGAGGGATCTTTCTCAAATTTTATATGTAGGTTCGCCTTGGTCCTTAGCTGTGCAGGGCATTTTTTGAGAGTGATCGGATAAACAACATGGCCGACAGGCAGCCATCTTTGATTTTGATATATAAAGTTTGTTATCGCTGTTTCTCTGGAAGTATCAGAGGGATCTTTCTTAAATTTTATATGTAGGTTCCCCTTGGTCCTAGCTGTGCAGGGAAATTTTAGAGACTGATCGGATAAGCAACATGGCCGACAGGCAACCATCTTTGATTTTGATAGTGAAAGTTTATTACCGCTATTTCTCTGGAAGTACGGGAGGGGGAAGTTTTAGAGACTGATCGGATAAGCAACATGGCCGACAGGCAGCCATCTTTGATTTTGATAGTGAAAGTTTGTTATCGCTATTTCTCTGGAAGTACGAGAGGGATCTTTCTCAAATTTTATATGTAGGTTCCACTTGATCTCTCGTTGTGCATGTTTTATTTTGAGACTGATCATAAAAACAAAATGGATTAAAAGAAGAACTAAACAGATCTTTCTCATATCGCAATGATCGATTCTATTTCTTTCACTTGATTTAAGTACTGTACTAGTAAATATGTGAAATGACAAACTCACTTTGAAGGTTGGCTTTCATACACATCAGTATTAAATTTAGATCAAAAGTTACCTCAAGGTGCATTTACTGTTAACATGACTCGATCAAACAGATTAGAGGAAAGAAGAGAAAAGATCAAACTGAAAAAGAGCTAATGAAGATGGTACAAAAGTGGGCGCCAAGATCCCTCTGGGATCTCTTGTATAAATTATCTCCCTTTATTAATCTTTATTTGAAAACGTGTGTAAATAATATGAAATGAAACGTCCCTTGTTAATTTTTTTCATCCTTTTCAGAGTTTAGAAACTCTGGACAATGGCAAACCGTTCAAAATGGCCTATGGGGAGGTGTTCTTTTCATCTGATTGTGTCCGATATTATGCTGGCTGGGCTGACAAGATACATGGCAAAACTATCCCCGTTAGTAAGTAACTGTACAAACCCCAACTGTTCTGGTTCGTCTACTTCAGGTAACAAGTTGTCTAGGCTATAACTGAGGAGTGCAGTGTTCTTTTATTAGGTCATTGTGACCCTTATCCTGAGGTCAAATGTCAAATAAGTTAGAATTTTTTCCGTGAAATCTTTTCTAAGTCAAAAGTTTTAAATTTAAACCAATGAAGATATCTTGATCTGTTACATCTTGTTAAACCTTGAAACCTTGAAATTACACACATTCATCACACCTTGGTCACTCACTGAAAATGGTCAATATTAGGTTTAAAAATTGGGAGTCTTCCTCCACAAAGGGGAGAGTTGGCAAGTATGTAGGCTTGTAACATTGATCAGTTATAAAGTGTGTGCTGTTAAAGTATTCTTTCGCTTCAATTACAGATGGAGATTTTTTCAGCTTCACCAGACATGAACCTATAGGGGTCTGTGGCCAGATTATTCCAGTAAGTGTATAATTAATTTATATAGAATCGTTATCTTTTGTTGGTAAATCACTGAGACCGTTACATGCATAACGCATGAACTTTCTTCATTTCCTATTGGATAAGTGACTGTGACATAACAATAAATATAGGATAATATATGCCTAGAGTTTATATATCCCTCGCTCAACGAGTTGGCGGGGGATAAAGAAATGGTGTCCATGCGTTCTTTCATGTGTGCGTCTGTATGCCCATGCACCTGGTGAAGAATGATTGCTCTCACCTATATCCTGCCTACGACAAGTGCTATGTTGATTATACCTGCATCAACTGTGTATCTAGGGTTGCTCTACCGAATGCATATTGCGGATGTTGATTTTGATCTATATTTTACGCTGAATGTTTTTAATGACTTTTGCACTGCATGTGGAGGATATCGATGACAGCGTCTTCTTGTTCTAAACTGGACAAAAGTGCCATCACTTTGATTGATAAATGCTAAATCTGATGATTGCAGTTTTGGTAGCATAATAACTGATACCCTGAGTTGCCCCAAGGGCCTGAGGAGGTGGTAAAATAACATTTCTGGTTTATTTGTTTGCATATGTTTCTATCATTTCAGGCAGGTTTTATGCAATATGGATGTAACCGATTTGCATCCATACCAACTTGAATGTTAAAACAAATTCTGTGCGGGCTGTATGAATGATGTTGACCTCTAACTCTGCAGTATCAAGATAATCTGTAATGATAGATAGTCTGATAGAATTAGTATGTACTCAATGTTTTCAGTGGAACTACCCAGTGCCCATGTTCGTCTGGAAGATAGCTCCAGCCTTGGCCACAGGGAATGTGATCGTGGTGAAACCAGCAGAGCAGACCCCTCTTACGGCCTTGTATTGTGCACATCTTCTGATGGAGGTTTGTCATAACGTTTTAGTGTACATAAGTGAAATTCCATTGACAAAAATAATTAAAAATATAATTATAAAATTGTAAAGCAATTTAAACCTCAAATTTTGTACAATGAATTATTGGTATGATTAAACGTGTGTAATTTGTAACCTTATAACAGGCAGGATTTCCGAAGGGCGTCATCAATGTGGTACCTGGTTACGGCCCTACAGCGGGAGCAGCAATATCTTCCCATATGGATGTTGGCAAGGTGGCCTTCACAGGGTCTACTGAGGTAGGCATATGGATGTAGGCAAGGTGGCCTTCACAGGGTCTACTGAGGTAGGCATATGGATGTAGGCAAGGTGGCCTTCACAGGGTATACTGAGGTATGTATATGGATATAGGCAAGGTGGCCTTCACAGGGTCTACTGAGGCAGGTATATGGATGTAGGCAAGGTGGCCTTCACAGGGTCTACTGAGGCAGGTATATGGATGTAGGCAAGGTGGCCTTCACAGGGTCTACTGAGGCAGGTATATGGATGTAGGCAAGGTGGCCTTCACAGGGTCTACTGAGGTACGTATATGGATGTAGGCAAGGTGGCCTTCACAGGGTCTACTGAGGCAGGTATATGGATGTAGGCAAGGTGGCCTTCACAGGGTCTACTGAGGTACGTATATGGATGTAGGCAAGGTGGCCTTCACAGGGTCTACTGAGGTACGTATATGGATGTAGGCAAGGTGGCCTTCACAGGGTCTACTGAGGGAGGTATATGGATGTAGGCAAGGTGGCCTTCACAGGGTCTACTGAGGGAGGTATATGGATGTAGGCAAGGTGGCCTTCACAGGGTATACTGAGGTAGGTATATGGATATAGGCAAGGTGCCCTTCCCAGGGTCTACTGAGGTAGGTATATGGATGTTGGCAAGGTGGCCTTCACAGGGTCTACTGAGGTAGGCATATGGATGTAGGCAAGGTGGCCTTCACAGGGTCTACTGAGGTAGATATATGCTATAAAGGAGTCCCTTTTTCCCAACTTCTCCGTTTTTCCATCTCAACCCTCTTTCCTTTACCAATATAGTTCTCCTGCATGTGTTTTATTCATTTCAACAAATTTTATTCAGGATGGTAAATAATGGGATTAAACAACAGGCTTGGCCTACAGCAGTAAAGTGTGTATTATCCATCCTTCTGTCTCCTCCTAACTTTTCTGTTCTTGAATCTTCATCCATTCTCCCTTCCATTTAGCTCTTGTGAAGGTACACTGCCCTTAGGTTCGAAGAAATGATGTTAGTGACGATGACGACGATGATGTTTTAGCAGGTTTGTGTATTTTGTAATTTTATCATGTTTTAGCAGGTTTGTGTATTTTGTTGTAACTGGTTTATCACTGTCTGACAGCTTTGTCACTGTTCACTCGACAGGTTGGCCAGTTAATCATGCAGGCTGCTGGGTGTTCTAACCTGAAGCGACCAACCCTTGAACTCGGTGGCAAGAGCCCAAACATTATCTTCTCTGATGCAGAGTGTAAGTCTTAATAGTGTTTGTCATGACGTCAACAACCTGTATCAGGCGTATACATTCATGACATAAACAACCAACCACAATAGGTATAGGTATTTGCTCGTATATACATGTAGATAAGTTTGCTGGACAATATCTACAGACACATTCTTTCAATGGATGTTAAATGATAGAAGAGAGCAGGTAATAGTTGAAGTCATTATGGCTCTCCACGGTCAATTTCACTTCCTTAATGTGGAATAACAATACCTGGTATTAAGAGCCAAGTTAATAATGATATATTTTAGAAAGCAGTCCAGGATAAATTTATGGTTCTAAACAATACGGTTAAACTGGAAATTTTCCTCAATTGATATTAGCATTTTCCTTTTGAACAAGACAGCAAAAACAACATGGGATCAAAACTTGCTTTAACTTCTAGATAAATTCTGAAATAAAAGTTTGACCTGTGCTGCTTTTTGCTAGCTTCTAGATTTGTGACGTGTGACCTTTTCCTCTTCCTCAGTGTCTAGCGCTGTGGACTATGCCCATGAGGGTGCAATGACCAACATGGGACAGTGTTGTATCGCCGGCAGTCGAACCTTCGTACATGAGGATATTTATGATGAATTTGTCAAGATGAGCGTTGCTAAGGCTGAAAAACGAATGGTTGGAAATCCTTATGACAAAGACATAGAGAGTGGCCCTCAGGTAAGGACATTTTCTGTTTGTCCCAGGACACAGAGTGGCCCTCAGGTAAGAACATTTTCTGTTTGTCCCAGGACATAGAGTGGCCCTCAGGTAGGACATTTTCTGTTTGTCCCGGGACAGAGTGGCCCTCAGGTAAGGACATTGAGCTTCAAGTTGGACATTTTCTGTTTGTCCTAAACATACAGTGGGCCCAAGGTACATATGTAGTAGGATATTTTCTATATACACCAGAACGGTGAGTGGGCTTGCACCAGGACATTTTTAGGTCACCTGAGCTTTGCTCAAGTGACCTATTCCAATCACTTTCCGTCCGTCGTTGTCCGTCGTGCGTAAACTTTTACATTATCAACTTCTTCTCAAGAACCAGTGGATGGGATTTTTTCAAACTTGGTCAGAATCATCCTTGGTATATGAGGCTACCAAATTGTAAAATTGGGATTCTTACCCCAACCCTAGGGGCCAGGGCGGGGCCCAAAAGGGAAAATTAACCAATATTTCAAAAATCTTCTTCTCCAGACTCAGAGGTATTACAGTCATTTTCTCTGCATGGATGGAAAGATCATCAGGGG